TATTCAAAAATAATGGACGAACTGTTGTTTATATTCTGGATAGGAGTACACACTGGAGGTGAATTTCTATTTTCAGGTGGTTTTTGGCCTCGTTTAAGACAGAGCCTCTCTACTGTGTTGCTAAACTTAATAAAAAATTCAGTCAACAAAGGTCTACAAAAGCATATCAATGACAATGTCATAACACGCCTAAACAATGATATTGAGTATACGACACCGTGGCCCAGTGTTTCGATTTAACGAAATCAAACACATGCTCGGAGAAACAATACATGCCGAAAAGGCCACCGCACTTCATTCATAATTATTCTCTATATTAGTCATGCGCGTAAATTAACAAAACGTATATCAATTTATAAACAAAGAGAGGGGTTGAGCGGAGTTGTGTCAGTTGTGTCAGGCAACGATTTGCTAGCCGCTAATTGTCTCTGATAAGTGGGACCTGTCAGCAAAAACGGCATTTCGTTGAATTGCTTTTTGACAGCCTAACACCTGACTAGGAATCTCGGAGTATTGCCGTTATATTTATCAGCACAAGCACGTTCTGAAAAAAAACCCCCATTTAAAATCTGACGCAAAAACAATTCCCAGTGTCCGTTTTAGTGTTTTTGCATACCAATTAGATCTCAGAAAGCAGTTAAACTTATTATTTATATGGTTTCCCCCTGACATGTACATGTACATTCACATGTACTATGTACATTGTATATTGAGCTGTAACCGGTTTGGGTTCAACAGTTCAGATTGGTGAAAACACGACTTCAGTTAATGCTTTTTATAGCAAAAAAAAACAAAAAAACCCCTATTTCTGGAAAATAATTGCATTAATATAAAATTACTTACCCCTGGTCATGATTGTGATAATGAATGGATATAAATATACATAGATTGCGATAGTCGGGCGACAAGTTTGTTCGCCTGATTGTTTGGCTCCCTGCCAAATCGGTCTACATGTTCAGCAGGTCTTCTGCACAAACGAACTGGCGTTAAATAAGAATTATGGAACTATCACGTTTGCGACACGTGACCAGTGAAAATGCGTCAAATAGTTGGCCCACTAAACCAATGGAAGAAAAATCAGAATGTGGTAATGAAGTTGGCCGGAGGGTATCTTCTTTTGGACTTTGTCTACCCATCACAGAACTTCAATCCCACAATCCACATTCACCACAACCAATCCAGCGTCGACACACCGCCCGGAGCTACAACAAGCCTATCTATACGTAGGTTGCTACTTAAGTTTCTGTCCTAACTACATATGGATTTATTGTTATTAGCAGGAATTCTTCAGGAATATGAAACCGTATGTTGAAAAATTTTAAGCTATTTTTGCAGCACTTTTTCCACTCAAAAGAAAGTACGTACTATATATAGGGTCCATATAATCGTAAAACAGGTCTTATCAAAGGCTGTTGTCGTTGGACGGTGGAGCGAGCCATCTCTTCATTCGTTGTCGGGTTGCGATCGTGATCGCTTCGTTCGTTGTTTGGTTTTTGGATCGTTACGGGATCTCTCCGATCGCTGATCGTTGATTTCAGTTCGTTGCGCGCTTCTGTCCCGTGCACGTCGCTAAAGTTTTTGGCATCCGATATAAAAATAACTATACATATATGTTGAGTAGATGAAAATAAACGAAATATAAGCAACGCGGGTGCAGAAATAAACCAAAACGCGTGTAATTGTGCCCCAATCACCAAAGTCAACAAATAAACAACAATCAAGAAATGGCAGCCAGTGAAGCGCCACCTTCAGAGGCGACTGTGGAGGTCCAACCACCGGCACCGCCACCGCCAAAGGATCCGGAAGATGTGACCCTAGATGCCATACTGAAGCACTTGGGTCAGTTTGGACGCTTCCAGCTTATCATTTTCCTGCTGATCTGCCTGCCCATGATGTTCCATGCCATGTTCTCAGTGACATACGTCTTCACCGCCAGCACTGTGACGCACAGGTGAAGTTAATGCCATGCCGCGACCATGTTGTGGGTTAGTTGTGTGCTACCGAAAATAGAACTCTCCGCAACCACCAACAGATGTCACATTACAGAGTGCGATTCGCCCGAGAGCGCCTACGTTGAGCCATGGACGGAGTACAGCATTCCCTGGAACGGCAAGGATCTGGACCAGTGCAAACGCTTCAACAACGATCAGCTGCCCCAGTGGAACCAGTCGACGGGGGAGGATATATGCCTGGCCAAGTATTATAACGCACAAATCGAATCATGTCCCGACAATAAATTCGTGTTCCGCGATAACGAGCTAACCATTTCCAATGACGTGAGTATCAAAGTGTCATCGGCAATGAGGGGGGTGTGCATTTCGCGCCTTATCAGGTACTACGACAAGCGAATGCTAGATTCTGGCAGACTTGGACTTTGATAACAAGTCAGCCGATTACACAGCACATGGCTCCCGGTCTGGATCAACAGCCGGGATAGGGGAAGTCAGAAGCGCATCGAGGTGGCTTTCCTCTTATCCCTATTAAGTTCTAGACAACCATAATGGGTTCAATGGCTTAACAATGACTTAAACACTTACCTACATATATCAATGACAGCCGCTTTGAGTTTTCTATAATCTTAATCAAATAGGGGGCACTCAGTCGGGGCCCGAATGGGTTTACAACAGTCTACATAACATTGCTTTAAGTGGTTGTAAAGTGCTTCAGGTATTGTTAAGCAAAGAAATATCGTCTATTATTACCCAATAATACGCAGAGTGCCCCGCAGTCAGCTGAATCAACAAGGGTGGGAGAGAGAGAACGAGAGTGATTTTATTTTCCAGCACCAAACAGAATTTCCCCAGTTTTGGAGGCACACAACAAACACAGAAGATAAACAGAGGAGAATTTTCACGGTCAATTTTAATGGCATCTTAATTTTAATGGGCATCTTCTTGAAGGTTGACGGATGATCTCCCTTATCGTAATCATAATCATAGCCATACATACCCGTACTCGTAGAAAGTGGGAAGCGGGTTGCTCAAGTGGCCTGATGGGCTGACATTCTTTATCACCCAATTGGACACGTATGTCAATGGGATGGGATTGGATGGGATGACAGAAAAGTAGCTGAGAGATAAGTGCCCCTTAAGTCTGGCCACGGCGACTGCCAACCGGGCAGCACGGGAACAGCGAATTACATTGAAGATGCTCGTACGAGTATTCATATGCAAATTAGGGCTACAATTCAGTGTACAGATTTAGAGTGACTTTTGACTGGAATCTTTTTGTAGTTTGGCATTTACTGCGATGAAGAGTGGAAATTGTCGCTTGTCGGCACCATCAATAACGTGGGACAGTTCTTTGGCATTCCGATCGGAGGATATGTGGCAGATCGGTGAGAATGGAAAATCTCCAGCTCTGGTCCTATCCCTTCTGAGTGCTTATGTCTCTCTTGCAGTTATGGACGCAGCTTTTCCATCGCCCTGGGTGGCATTTTGGGCGCCGTGCTGGGCATCGTTCGTTCCTTCTCGCCAAGCTATATTTGGTTCCTGATCTTTGAGTTCCTGGACAATATGACGAGCAGCACCTTGTACTCCACATGCTTCGTCATCGGCATCGAGCTGGTGGGTCCCAAGCGTCGGGTGCTGGCCTGCAGTGTCATCACCGTCTTCTATGCGGTGGGGGAGGTGGCGCTGGCCATGTTTGCCAAGGCCTTCCCCCACTGGCGTACTCTCCTGCGGATCACATACACACCCTCTCTAATTCTTCTGGCCTACTTCTGGATCCTGCCGGAGAGCGTCCGTTGGTTGCTCAGCCAGGGCAAGGAGGAGCGGGCCAAGGGCATTTTGCGCCGGGCGGCCACAGTAAATAAGCGGAAGCTGTCGGATAGCTTGCTGGACAAGCTGATACTGGCCAATCGGGACAAGCTGGAGCAGTCGGCGGAGAGCAGATTCCCCATTCGCGAGGCCTTCAAGAACTTCAAGTGGCGCATAGCCAACTGCTCCTTATGCTGGATCGTCCATGTGCTGGTCTACTACGGCCTGAGTCTGAATGTGGTGCTGCTCGATGGCAATAAGTACAACAATTTTGCCTTCATTGCGCTCGTGGAGATTCCCGGGTTCTTCCTGCCGCTGCTCATCATGGACCGCTTTGGAAGGCGCTACTCCCTCTGTGGCCTAATGATATTCAGTGGCATCTGCTGCATCGGCACCATTTTCGCTGGCTCAGCTCAGCCCGTGCTGCAGCTGGTGCTCTTCCTCGCCGGCAAGCTGACCATCACGGCCAGTTTCCAGGTGCTCTACTTCTTCGCCTCGGAGATCTATCCAACGAATCTGAGAAACAGTCTGCTCAGCTTCTGTTCCATGATGGGCAGATTTGGTTCCATGCTGGCGCCTCAAACGCCTCTTCTGGTGAGTATGTCGATGGCACCTCATTTATAAGATAATTTCCAAGTTGTTAACCTTTTCTCTCGTAGGCCAAGTACTATGCCAGTGCTCCAGCCATGCTCTTTGCGGGCGCAGCCATATTGAGTGGATGTCTTACACTGTTCTTCCCCGAAACCACAAACGTTGTCCTGCCCACCACAGTGCAGGAGGCGGATGCCATTGGCGTGAAGAAGAAGCACGCGAAAAACCAGCCCGAGGACCCGGCACAAGTTGTTCCGTAATGCAAGTATCAGAAATCGTAGAATAATCATAGACACTAGGGCAGCCTGCACATACAAAGTTTTCAAAGTTGTGTTATAGTATCCATAAGAATAAATCATACATACTACTCGTATAATTTAGCAATACAAAAACAAGAATTATGCTGGAAAGTAACTCAATCGATATATTTATTGCAGATATTAATGGTCCATTCTTAAAGCTAATGCTAAGGCTAGAACATAAAAAAAAAATACAAAAATAACAAAAAATTCATAGCTCAATGGCTCTCTAGATTCTCAATATGGCAATAATACTTGGTGTAACAAAAAAAGAATATAAACTGAAGCTGCATGTGGTCCATCCTTAGGCTATCCATCTATCCTAGGCTTAGATATAATCGTATACTGATAGTTTGATTGGGAATTCAAAATTCGTTATTTTATATTGAACAATTAATTGGTTTGGGTAAAGAACTGGGTTATTGGCTTGTTGCCGCCCCTGGCGGAGGAGTTGGCTATGGTGGCATTCAGCTGCTTTTGCTTCTGCTGCTTTTTGCCTTGGCCCGGAGAGCTGTTCTCCTTGCTGAGTGCTGCTGCTCGAGTGCGCAGATCCTGCTGGTTGAGCTCGCGCTGGAGACTTCTCGCCATGTGGTAGTCCAAGTGCTCGGGCATACATTCGATCTTGATGTAGGCCTTGCATTCGGAGCATTGTTGAGTGGGAATGCTGCTCGAAGGCGGCTCTACAGGTGGCTTGACATTGAAGAACTTGGCTATGCTATTGGCAGGAGTAGTGGAGGAGGACGTGGAGCCACCACTAGATGATCCAGCAGACTTTTTTTGTTTTTTGGGCGGCGTCGGCTTGGGGGATAACTTTTTGGGGCTCTGATGTCTCTTCTCGCGTTGCTCGGTTTTCATTTGGCGACTCAATTCCTGGGCAAAGTGATGATCGCGATGGGTTTGCAACGCCTTGACATCGTCGGGAATTTTGGCGCCGCACTGATCGCACTTGACCATGGGCAGGAGATTGGCTCGTATTTCGGGCACAGCGTACTCGGCATAGCTCTCTTTATAGCTGCTGCTTGTGGAGCTGTTGAGCTGATCAAATTTTCGCTTGGATGTGGATGGCTTGAGCTCTTCTTCCGTGAGTGGCTGATATGTTGAGGTTGGTTCCTCTGGTGGCACGATTGTGTTCGCCCTTGATGTGAGGCTTTCATCTTCGAGGGTATCCTCATCGAAATCCTTGGAATCGCCTGCCTCAATTGCGTCTAGTTCTTCGGCCAGTCCCTGCATATCTGAGGCATTATCGGCTGCCGCCTCGACCTCCTGTGTCTTAGTCTGTTCCTCATCCTCTTGACCCTCGGCTGCTGCCTCAATATGTTGTTCCTTAGCCGCATTTTGTTGCTTTAAGTAGTTGGCAAAAAAACTTCCCTTTAACTCTGGCGGTGTGGATGTCTGCGTGGATCCTTCAGCTGCTCCTTCCGTTTCCGAAACGGCTTTAAGTTTTTGTTTATACTCTTCAAAGAAACTCTTTTTTGGCGGAGCTCCTGATGCTGCTGTATGCGCATCCGCCACAGGATCAGGGTCTGCGGGCTTCTTCTCCTCTTTTTTGGCTCCTTGCAGATAGTTGGCGAAGAAACTTTTCATTTTGGAGTCTTCAGTCTGCTTGGGCCTGACTTCCACCTGGACTTTCGGCTGCTGCACAGCTTCCTCGCCACTCATTCGCCTGTTCTTCGCTGCCTGATTGGCAAACATATTCTGGAGGCTGTTTTGAGCATTCGAAATGGTCTCAAACTTTCCCACGCTGATACCAAGGAACTTGACCGAATTATTTAGAGCTGCATCGCTTCCAGGTCGTAAAAACGTTTTCGTATTCGATTTTATCAGATCCAGAGCAAGCTTGGCCAACGTTTCCTGATCGTAGTGATTAATGGAAGTGGACCGAGAGCTGGCTACCTCTTCTTCATCAATATCCTGGACAAACTGGACCACCATCTGCTTGGCCTTCCGGTTGTTTTCGATGAAATCCTTCTCCAGCCTATCATTGATCTCGATGGAGAGCTCCCCCAGCCAATGCTGCAGGGACTTCAAGCCAGTGATATTGTTCCGCCCGGGAAACTTCTTGCAATAGCCAATGCTCTTGGAGTAGAAGCGTGGAGTCACCGCCTCCAGATCGATTCCGCGTGAGATGTAAAACAACCAAGAGCTGAAATGTGATGACATTATGCATGAGATTCGTTCCTTAGTGACATTTAACGGCGTGGAAGGGGACTCACCCATTCTTGTCATCAAACTTTCGCTGCAGCTCTCCCTCGGTGTATTTAACCAATTGCCCTAGAAATTTAATGCCCATAGTCTCGCACACCACCTCGCCAAACTTTCCGCCCAGACCCTTGATCTTTCCCACTGGCAATGAATCGAACAGCCCCGGGATCTCCGCCAGCGGTAGAATGGTCTGTTTGTTCGGCTTGTTCATGCCGGCGGCCAGCTTGGCTAGGATCTTGTTGTGAGCTATGCCCGCGGAACAATCATAGCCAGTATCCTTCTTGACTGCTGCACGCACCTCTCCAGCTATGGAGGCACCGATCAGGAGACGAATATCGCTCTGCCGGACGGCGGGCAAATCGTTTTGATCGTAGGCAAGTTGGAAACGTTCATCATCCATGTAGGGATTGGCAAATCGATTCGTTATCTTGTTGACATAGTCCCCAATGTTCGTATAGCCAACGGCGAAGGTGTTGACCAGTTCCTGGGGCTTCAAGGCAAAGTCGCCCTACAGAGAAAGATGGAAGTGAACATGGAAGTGCTGCCGCTGGAAGAATATGCTTACACTCTGCAACTGCTTCATGCGGATATTCACCGTGTCCGTGATGTCCAGGTACGCCTCATCCACAGAGGCACGCTCGAGGAGCTGCGTAAAGCGCTGCAGAACATTGGCCACTTCTTTGCCAGCATCGCGATATTTGCCCGTGTCCGCCTTTTCCCGGATGTTCGGCACTTGACAGAGCACTATTTCGGGACACAGATCTTTGGCCTCGTCGCCACGCATGTGCCTGGTCACTCCTTTGGCTCGCGCTTCGTAATTGACAGCAATGATGCCGCCTCCCCGCCATTTGTTGTATTGCACCACGGCCAGGGGCCTGTTGCGGTACTCGGGCTGCTGCTTCACCTCCACCTGGCAGAAGAAGCAGTCCATATCCACCAGCAGGACCACCCGATCGTATTTGTTTTGCATGCTAACATGGCTGCGAGTCGTGGTCATGTTTTCATTTCGCAAAAATCTTTCGCACTCAACAAGTTCCCGCAATTTTTGTTACCCTCAGAGATGTACCGAAATATACCAAGTCAATTTAAAAATTGGTATTGCATTAGTTCATGTAACTAGCAACAGATGGCGCTTAATATCCAGTGGAATATTAACCTTCTTTGTTTACACCTTATATTTTAATTAATCCAATAATTGGGATTCCTTAAAATAAACTAGTTTGTAGAAAATTGATTCATCTATCTGATAAAATGATATGTTCAGCTGTTAAAGTCCAAACTAACTAGTAATATTAAATCGAATATCAAAATTGATGAATATGATTTTCCTCGGTATATTTACGGTATATTATGAAAACGAAAAGGAATATTTGGGTATATTTTTGAGGGTGAGACGGTATATTTTGTCGATAACTCCGCGGTCACACTGGTTGTGATGTTTTTAAACAAAAAATTCTCGTTAATTAATTAATTCATTCATTCACTTAAATGAATAGAGTATGTGCGGGCTGAGTGCTTTCAATGTTAGCAATGTGGCCTGAAAACCAACGGATTGAAAATTCCCATAAATCAGCGAAAACCGCGACAACAACGAAGCGGTAAAAGAATGTGCGTGTTGACAATAATTGTCAGTGTTTTTTTGCTTTTGTTTTGTTTGTAGTGCTTAAAAAAAATGAATAATTCCTTAAGCAGTGAGGTGTGGTGAAGTTTGTTACATAAATTCTTGGCAATCAGCAAAATTATTGATTTTTACTAAATGCCGCTGCCAAAATGCAATTTACATACATACACACACGCACGCCCACACACCCACCCTTCCTGCACCAACCCATGTTATACTAATAAAAGGTAAGGCAGTCTGAGAGAGCTGCCCTAACCGGCTTTAGCTGGGTAAAGAAATATAGTAATAAATTATGCTATCCAAAGATTGCCTACCGTAGTATTAGTATCACTTGACCCTACCACTCCTTCCTCCTCCTTTGATCACTTGCCAGGTTCATTTGGGTTAATGCACGGATTATTATCGTAGAACTTATTGATTTGGTCAAGCAGCCAGAAATAAATTCTTTTATGGCGTGCCTGGCTCTATTTCCGGAATTCCTTTCTTTCCGTTTGTGGGCTCGCACCATTTGACCTCCTTGCCGGTGTTTTGATTGATGCGTCCGAGTGTATGCAGAGTAGTCAGTGTGTGTTCTCTACGGCTTAATTAGGCGAGTAGAAGCGTCGGAATCAGAGTCAGAATGGTCGCCGGGCCCAACCCTTGTCAAGAGGTGGGGGGTTTACTGTGACAGGACAGTGCTGGGGTAAAGGCGTGCTGTGTATATTGTTGTGACCTAATTTCCTGTCTGTTTATTTTTTGGTGGGAGGAGGGTGTAAAGGATACGGCATGAATTCCAGCGGAAGTGATAGGTGCAGCACTGACCTGTTGTAATATTCTACCTTGAAATTTGACTAAAAAGGAACCAATGGAATGGGAAATTATTATTGTGTGACTTGCATAACAATGATGATCATCATTCTTCCCCCACATCCGCTAGCCTAGCCCTCAGTCGCTATTTGTGTCTTCTTCTCTCTCTCCAGCATAAACGCACAATTATGCTAATGGCTGACATGCCTACATACAGACCATACACCGTACACCATCAACAACCACTTTAGTGAGACCCCCGCTTAGCGGCCTGCTAACCCACTCCCACTCCCCAGTCAGAGCTGAGCGCTCGCACTCGCACTCGCTGTCGCTGATGTAGTGGAGAACGGACTTCTGATTCACCGTCAACAGACAGTCTGTTTGCGTCCGGCGATGAAGTCACTCTGCCCAGGGCGTTGTATTCGCGATTGTGGAATTTTGAATAAGAGCCTGACCCAAGGTGTTTTCTGATTCTTGCAGTGACCAGACCAGCAGTTCCAGCAGCCATGGTGAAGATCCTGCAGGCCTACAATTTTGCCAGGCAGCAAACGTATGCCCTTAATGGCGAGATCCTGGCAGCAAGTCTGATTGGCAACAATCGGATTGCCATCAGCAGCGCGGAGCAGTTCATAGAGATTTATGACATTGCTGGGAAGCAGCAACAGCAGCAGCAGCAGGAGGATGGAATCCACGACGGAGAGGAAGGACAGGCAATTAGTGGGGATGCTCCTGGAGGAGGAGATGAGCGCCTGCCGGTCAAAAACACGCTAGCCACCGTTGGCGAGGTGGTGCAGTTGATCTACTGCGAATCGGGTGAGTGAGGAATCCCCTGTTTGCTCTGAGTACATATTTAATTGAATGCTTGTTCTCTTCCGCTTAGGCAAGTACCTGCTCACATTGGAAAAGGAGCAGGCGGGCAGCCCAGTGCACTCATCCTCGACCATTAGCTGCACATCGAGCAGCAACAGCAATACTGTTTGCTCCGAGGATGACACTAAGATGTTTGTCCGAATCTACGCCAACTTCTGGAAGTTCCCCGATAGCAAGCTCAACGAGCTGCCCATCACCATCAGGATAGCCTCGATGACAACGCCGAAGACGCCGCTAGTCGAGAGCATCGATGTGATTGAGCTGCCGCTGCGCAGTCCCCCCGAACTGGTTCAGTGCTGTCAGACCTCTGGCAACATCATTGTCAGCAGCAGGGACAGGATATACCTGTACGAGTACACACAGTGTGTCCACGAGAACACTCAGCCCCGATTCGCGTTTATCGATTTTCTGCCCTTCAAGTTCTTTGTGCAGCTGAACTTTGTTCCCATGCGCCTGTGTCTGGCGGAGAATGTCATCGCCTGCCTAAGTCACCGGTACTGTGTGGCATTCAAGGTGATTGACGCTCTGGCAAACAGCAAGGCAACCGCCGGGCAGGAGCTGAGCTGTTTGGACAACGACTATGGGGGCGGCGGCGGAGACGAGCCGCTCTCGGAGTCATTGAGCTTGGGCAGCAAGGCAAGCGCCAGCGGTGGAGTGGTTAGCTCCACCCACAGTCAGCAGAGCTGCGAGAGCGACTCCATGCAGTCAACGAGCAGTGGCAAAGCTCCCTTGGCAATGAATGGAGCCCTGCCCGGACGTTCGCCGTTGGACTTTAACGTGGCCAAGCTGGTGAACAACGCGTATGGGCGCGAGTTTGAGCCGGAGTTACGCTCTCAGTGGGATCAGAGCGAGAATGGTGGAAATGGAGGAAAGAATGGGGGCCCAGAGGACAACCAGGAGATCACTATCACACCCCAGAGGGCCGGGGATATCAAAATCAAGCTCGTCAACGAGGCCAAGGCCATGAATGTGCGTGGCATCGCAGGGGGCAATCAACTGGAGGATGCCTCTGTTCAATATGATGTCAGAAAGTTGCTGCAGATATGCATGAAAACATCCGAGCATCAGCCCAGAACTCTGGACATCTTGCGCTGCTTAGATCTGAAAGCAATCTATCAAAGGAGCGGCCAGGGCACGGACCTAGAGGACGATGAGTACGACATGGGCAACCAGCAGGTGCCCAGTGCCGTCACCACATTTAAGCACGTCAATCGCAGGACCCTCAAGTCTTCGCAGCATCAACGGTGCATAGGCCATGCTCTCCTGGTGGCCAGCAGTGTGGACGGCTACCTCTATCAGTTCTCCGCTCAGGGCAAATGGTACAGTGAGAACGAGAAGCCTGTGGCGAGCTACAGCTTCACGGCTCCCGTCATCCAGGTGCACATCAACGATTATGTGGTCTTTGCGGTCACCTCGGAGTCTGTGGAGACACACACCTCGCGCATAGGCCACAAGCTCTTCCACAATCGCTTCGAATATCCCTCGATTGGAGGCATTTTCCCCGAGGAGTCTGCACCAGACATCACCACGCCCATTGCTGTCGTGGGTCTTGCTGCCTTTATGCACGTTCAGTTTGTTTGCGTGAATCGGGACCAGCTGGTGCTGATCACCAACGCCGCCCTGGAGCTTCACAAGCGTCGCAGCACGGGAGAAGTGGCCCCCACAACGGTAGCGGTCAAGCGGAATATTGCTGCCAGACTGCTGGCCGAAGCAAAGGCCAAGCACAGCAGCCTTCTGAGGAGCAGCAGCGCTGCTCAATCCTCAACGGTCACAAATGAGTGGACCCTCTACAACCTCGAGGTGCCCCGGGTGGAGCACGTTATTGAGGATTTGGAGGGCATTGCGGAATCGTATCACAGTGCGAGCAGCTCGAATTTCTATGATCTCATGGAGGAGGCCCATGTCATGCTACGGCTGAGCCTCACACTGCAGGGCGAGCGGCTGGGCATGGAGCGCGAACAGCTGCTGAGAAAAATGTTTACTGCAAACTGTAGAAAATTGGCCGACTTCTCAATACGGTAGGTAGTGGCCAGGATTCAAAGAGTTTTCCTTCAATTGTTTGATATTCCCCCCAATTTCCGTTGCAGTTCCAGCAGGCAAGAGGTGTATCTGCAGGCAACGGGCTTCTACAAGATGTGCCAGATCCAGTTGGTGGACATTTACAACAACTACATTCAGCAGTTCATGGACAACGAGGAAGATGTGGAAACATCCGAACTGGCGGGCCTCATCTATACAGTAAAACTATTCCTACTCAGCCTGGCAACAGATCGCTTGAGGTCCGCTTTCCTAAACCAGACTGTTCGACCATACTTCACCCCTGTACGAGTGCTGCAGCAGGGGTACAAGCAGGTGCCGATTTCGTTGGAGTTTCTCAATATGTTCATCAAGCACGCTCCGGTGGATATACCCCAGATCATGCTGTGTTCCCCCGTAGTGGCCGACACCATGAGCGGAGAGCTAATCAACTATCTGAAATACTTGAACGCGCTGTAAGGCTGCAAATAATATATATACTGAATATATTTCAACTAAAATTTTCCCTTGCAGATCCCCCGATGAGAACCTACTGCTGGCTGTGACAGCCTGTCGCATGTCAAATTATCTGCTGGCCCAGGAAATCATAGCCAAGTCGACCAGGCGAACCCTGGCCACGGCTTTGATCAAGCACAAGAATGTGCTATTTGACGACAGCACTGTGATCTATCAGCGCCGCCAGCAGCAGCAAGTTGACCAGCAACAGGCCACAAACTCGCGAAAGAAAACCCGTCGAGGCGGTGGTAAAAGCAAGCCCGCAGGTGTCTCCACGCCCACGCCGAATGCCATCGTATCCTTTTCGGACTTTTGTGAAACCATTCTGTTGGCCAACGAGCAGCCCGCCCTCATAGAGGCCATCAGCGATGCCTTCATTCACGCGCTTTGCATCGAGCATAGCCTGACGCTGGATGTGCTGCTGCAGCTCTTCCTCAACTACATTGCCTCGCACATTGGCCAGAAGGGCTATCAGACCTCTCAGAAGGTTTTTGTGAATATTCTACAGGTGTATTATTATGATCTCTACGATGTGAGCTCATCGCTGCAGCCCCACGAGATTCGGTCGCAGACGCCACCGCAGCTGGATGACGACTACGACGAAGAGTGCAGCAGCTCCCGGGCTCCCTCGCTGCACAGCGATGCGGATGCCCAGTCGCTGTCTAGCTCGTGTGCCAGCTCAGCGCAGGAGGAGAGATCAGCGAGCCTATCGATCAACGGCAGGCAGCAGCGTATAGTCTACGATCAGCTGCAGGAACAGCAGTCGTCGCCATTCCAGAAGCGCAACTCCAATGCCTCGCTTTCGCAGCCCCAGCCGGACGACGATCTGGCCATTACTAATCTCAAGGGTCTCAAGATCCTCTTTCGCATGTACATGGGCCGACTAAAGTCCCTCAGCGATCTCATCACGGATCTTCAATCTGCGGATGTGGAACAGCAGTCGAGTCGTGAAGATTTCCTCAACCTGCGCATGGAGTGCATCTCCTATATGGTGGGCATGGCTCCGAATTACTGTCCCAAGCCAATGGTGAAGAATCCCAACGATCCCCTGGCCGGCAAGTTGGTCTACGTTCCGTTTATTCCCGACTACAAGCTGGCCGAGGGCGAGGAATACGAACGCCACATCAAATCCTATATACGACCCATTCCCTGTCTGCTGGAACGTCCCCAGTATTTGAACCGTCTGCCGCCATTCGAACGCAGCGACTTTAGCTATCCCAACAAGGATGAGGGCGAGTTCAAGGTCCGCTTTGTTAGCTGGCACAACGAGCTGCTGACCCTGACCCTGAAGATTCAAAGTCTGCTGGCCTCCAGCAAAGTGGATCGAGACATTATATCGGAGTTTTTGGCCTTCATTCAAAAGACGCCGCACTTGATGGGCATTGACAGCTTTTTGGTGATCATTTTGCCAAAGAACTTGGCCATTAACTACATGCTGAGCTTTTGTCCCGCCTATCTATGGCAGTATGGAAAGGTGAGTATTCCATAATAATTCTGGATATATTTGAGCTATAAATGAATTTACTTTTAGTCCTGCGGCTTCACACCCAAACACTGGGAGAGTTTGTTGCGCAAGATTCTCAGCAAGCAGGATGCCCTGCCCAACTGGAAAGTGCACATAACAGGTGTGTTATATATAAGCCTTGACCTTTCTTAGCTAATAGCATCCTAAACATCCCGACTTGTAGAGATCCTTAACAATCTGGTGGCAGAGTTGAGCTTTGAGGAGCTGCTTCAGTGCTTTCCCAGCGAGGTTATTCAAAATCGGAATACGGCGCAATACTTTGCCAAGGAATTTGCCGAAACCTGCGTTCTCTATGAGCATGAAGAGCTCGTCTTCAAGGGTCCGGAGGAGTCTGCCGAAGGTAGGGACCACCTGCCCATGGACAATATCGACGAAGACAATGTGTTCGAGCTCACGCTGCGCAAGGCAGTGGCCAAACAACGAAGCATTGCCCTGAGGTCCATGATCGAGTCGACGGGGACTCAGTTGTTCGATGCTACCAGTAATCCCATGTACAATCTGTAATCTGCGGATGGGAGCTTGTCACAGTCGGTAGTCCACTTTTAACTAGTTACAAACGGAATTATCACATTGCAAATGATAAGATTGATTGATATTAACGTAGCAAGGCGGGTAGAACGACAGAAAAACGTTTGTTGTATCGCCGTTTACATATATGCATACCAACCATACACACATATGCATATGTAATATGTAGTTGTAGGAATCGTATACCCATAACGAACGCATTATTTATTGACATTCTGTTTGACACAAACGCAACATTTGGATAATTATTGTAGCAATGATTTACGACGCAGGGCGGACCAGGAAAAAGTCTCCTGTAGGTTGTACAGATAACTCTGCTGGAGCCCGTTTTAATGCGGGGTATTTGCCATATTAAACCAGTTAGAGGGTTAGGGAGTAATGAAAATGTTGGAAAGAAGTACTTTGCCTCACGCCCACTTGTATTTGTACGTAATTTAATGCCCCCAAGTTTCCTTTGAACGAAGCTTTAATACTCTAAATGGTACATACATATGTATGTATCTACGTACGTCTGTATTTTTACTATATTTATATGTTAGCCATCACACTCGCTCTCTATTTACCCACAGACACAAGCACACTCCAACACACACCAACAACAACAAAAAACAACATCAAGTGATATTTTTAATTCTTGCATTGAATCTGAACAATAAAAACATAATTACATTACAATGCCATTGAAGTCTTGATAAGCCGGAAAGGTTAATCACCTACCCGTATTAATAGTATATCGCAGACGCCGCTCAGGTTACAGCTGGTCCTAAGTATTACTTAATTCAGCAATTAGGTTCTGCCTGCTCGTGTCAGCGTACTTTGTAAGCGTGTTGGTGCGACCAGACGCCTAGGTAATTGAAACGTGCGAAAAAAAATGAAAACAGATGGAAACCGTTGGGGGAAGATCCACGCCTCCTCAGGGCGGCGTAAATAATTTTGCCAATTAAGAGCGTTGAGCGTGCGGCATTCCAAGTTGGAGGCTGGGTTGCCGAGTCAGAGTCAGTCACTCAGAGACGGCGCTATCAGCAGCATGCATAAACTGCAGCCCAAACTGGACGTGGTCCAGGAGAAACCAGACTCGGGCACTACGGCATCCACGGAGGACAGCCAACTGGATTCGATTATCGTTCAGATTGGACAGTTTGGTCGCTTCCAGATCACCAACTATCTGCTGCTCTGCCTGCCCATCATATGCAATGCCTTCTACTCCATCTCGTACGTATTCACCACCAGTATTATGGATCACAGGTAAGTCAGAAGACCAATGAGAATGAGTAGCCGTCAACTAATTAAAATTATCCGCAGGTGCAATATTACCCAGTGCGACAGCCCCGACAGCAGCTACTCCGCTCCATTTCTGAACTTTACGACCCCCAATAGCCATGGAGCATGGCATCAGTGCGAGCACTACGAATTCAACTCTGAAATGGACACTAAAGCTCCAGCTTGCAATGAAGGCAATTTTAACCAGAGTCGCCTGATCAGCTGTGAGGCAGGCTTCAAGCTGGTAGAAGACGAACGTACCATAGCAAGCGAGGTAAGTATTTGTGTGATCTAAAAACGCAGTTATACTGGCAGGATTCTCCCTTCATCGACAGTTTGGAATCTTTTGCGCCGATCAGTGGAAGCTCTCGATGGTGGGCACAGTCAACAACATAGGACAGTTTGTGGGCATAGCCCTCGGAGGGTATTTAGCAGATCGGTAAGTGACTTAGAGTCGAATAAAGGCACCGTTTAATATGCAGGTTTCTACCCTTCTAGATATGGCCGAAAAACCCTCCTCGTTGCAGCTGGAATTCTCAGCGCTTTCGCCGGACTGGCACGCTCCCATGCCCCAAACTATTACAGTTTTCTAGGCTTCGAGTTCCTGGACATGGCCGTCGGCAGTACTCTCTTTCCTACCGCATTTCTATTGGCTCTCGAGCTGGTGGGCCCGAAGCACCGTGTGGTGGCTGCCACGTCGATCACCCTCACCTATGGACTGGCCGAGGCCGCGTTGGGCTATCTGGCCGACTATATCAGGGATTGGCGGGTGCTGCTACGCGTGCTATACACCCCGGCGCTGCTGCACTTGATCTTCATCTGCCTGCTGCCGGAGAGTGTGCGCTGGCTGCTGAGCCAGTCGAAGGAGCTGGACGCCATGAACATTCTGCGCAAAGTGGCTCGGGTAAATCGAAAATCATTATCGGAGCAGCAGCTGACTGAGTTGATGCGCTCCAACCGCCAGCTAGTGGCTCGGTCCTCAGCCTCAGGGGGGCACTACAGCATACGGCAGATTGTTAATGCTCTTGGCTGGCGCATTGCCCAGTGCTGCTTCGTGTGGTTCACCAACACCTTCATTTGCCTCGGGCTGAGCCTGAACTCCAGCGCGCTGAAGGGCAGCAAGTTCGAGAACTTCAGTGTGTTGGGTTTCATGCAGTTGCCTGGCTCTCTTTTGGGCACAATGTTGATGCATCGAATTGGGCGACGCTGGGCCCTAACCTCCTGCATGACGTGCTGCACGATCTTTCTACTGGCTGTACCTGCCTTGGAGGAGGGTAAGTTTTGCTTGAACTCTTCACTTGAACTGCTGAATAAGCTCAGACTCTTTTGCCAGCTTACCCGGTAACCTCCTCAGTGCTATATTTCATGGCCAAGATGACCGCCACTGGCAGCTTTGTGATTTTGTACTTTTTCACCGCTGAGATCTTCCCCACGAACTGCCGAAACAGCCTGCTCTCCTTCTGCTCGATGGTTGGTCGCTTTGGCTCCATGCTGGCTCCCCAAACTCCTCTTCTGGTGAGTGCTTTACCGCTCCCACAAGTCTATTCCCACTCAAGAACCTCTTCTCTGGCAGATTCCCTACTTCAAGTACGCCCCCCACTTTCTCTTTGCCATATTCGGCTTTGCCTGCGCCTGCCTTACGCTATTCCTTCCGGAAACCACAAACAAGCCACTGCCCACCACGCTGGAGGAGGCACGCTCCCTGGACAGAAGCATGCCAAAGCCCCTGGCAACAAAAAGTGCTGTCTAATCGAAAAATAAACAAATAAATTTTCGGCTAACATTAGATACCAGAAATCTGATCTGTTCGATCGGTGCGTGATCAGCAATTAAACATTTATAAATATAAGAAACCACGCGAATTTTTAGACATTTTTTAGGCAAGTTTTAACGATCCGATTGACGATAGAATAATTTGGGAATTTGCTGAATCAAATTTGAGTACGCCTCAACGGGCCTTATCAGCAGTGACTGTTATTTCCACGACTTATCACCGATTTATAGCTAGCTTCCTTCCATCGAATACTCGTACTCATATTTTCAATTACAAACCGTCAATAATTCACTAGGCTTCCCATTGATTGCGGTTCCATTGTTGCCTAGCTAGCTAGCTATCATTGATTTATCAGTCTGAACCAATTGACTGTCAGTCATTCAGGCACTTGTGTATTCAATTTCCTCATCTAATCATCTTAGGGTTACCCAAATCAAGTGTGAAGCCAAACACTGTCACTGTCGGAGGGAGCAGTGCCTGTGACAAGGTCATCGTCATGCAGATGCAGCCAGACAACTTGTTGACCCAGTCGAGCCATCGGCTAGCGGACGGGAACAGCTCGTTCCCCCTACTCAGACACAATGTCTCGCCGTCTGATAGAACAAACAATCAACAGTTTGGCGATAATGTCCAGCAAAACCCATTCAGAATTCAACGTGTGGCTACGATTGGAGTGTAATTTTTTATTCACACACAGTTGTTAAGTGAAAATAGTGGATTGGGACTGATAAGGCGCACAGATAGGAACAGATCAACCGGCGATAGGGCCGTGCCAGGCCAGGCCAGCGGTGCGGAGTGGAGGCATGGAGAAGAGCAGACAGATTACAAATATTAAATGTGAGAGGCACAAACGAAAGTCACTGGGAAAAAGTCGAAGAGTGAGAGTGGAAGGACTCTCTGCCATGCGGACGCTATAGTTAGAAGCGTATCAAAACAGAGTAAGCTACCCATACGGAGAGCACCTCCGAGAGGGCACAACAACTGAGAGCAACCTCAATCGGTTGATGTGGTGGGTGCACAGCGATACGAGTATCAGTCAGTGTGTGGCAGCGAGACGCTCCAGAGTGTCGATGGTCTATAAATAAAATCTGTTGCTCGTAAAGTGGCTAGTGAATGGTCTCCGATAGCCAGTTCGAAAGTTATAAAACACGCATCGCGCGGAGAGCCTCATAAAAAGTGCATTCAACCACGTGCCGTGGAAAGACTTTCAATCGAAATAAAATGCCAAATGAAAAGGAGGGTAACGGCAGCTCTCCGGCTGCGAGCAACGGACATGCGGAGCCGGAACCGGAGCCGAAATCGAGCGATGAAGATAACTCACTAGACGCCATTCTCGTGCGTATTGGCCAGTTTGGACGCTATCAGATAATCAACTATGTGCTCTTGTGCGTTCCCATGCTCTTCAATGCCTTCTTTTCGATCTCATATGTGTTTACCGCGAGCACAGTGGTGCATAGGTGGGTGAAATCGAAGTGAAAATATACCCCCATAGTCTGTACTCATATCCCCTCTTGTTAGGTGCAACATCACTCAGTGCGATAGCCCCGCTAGCGTTTACGAGGAGAGCTGGCTGAACTTTACAGTTCCCTACAAGGGCTCCTCCTGGGACGACTGCCATCGCTATGTGGCGAATGAAACGGTTTACTCTCCCTTCACGGATCCTTCGGGGGCGTACTGCGATGCCGAGTACTTTAGCAAAGAGACGGAGACTTGTGCCCATGACTTCAAGTTCAGGGATGAGGAGAAGACCATTTCCACTGAGGTAAGCTTTTTTGCAGGCGAAGAGTTACGCTACTTAATTTACTGATCATTTTGTCCTCCCTCCTTTAGTTTGGAATATTTTGCAAAGATGAATGGATGCTCTCGATGGTGGGCACTATCAACAATGTGGGACAATTTGTGGGCATACCCCTGGGCGGTTTCTTTGCAGATCGGTACGTTTGATGAGCTCCTTTCGAGTTGCCAGGAATTTTCCTCATTTTCTTTATTTTGCCCTTGCAGATACGGACGACGCACAATGTTGGCCATAGCTGGAGCACTGAGTGCATTCATGGGTGTTATTCGCTCGCTGTCGACCAACTATTACATGTTCCTGGCCTTCGAGTTCCTCGACATGGCAGTGGGCAGCACCCTCTTCCCCACGGCCTTCCTCTTGGCCATTGAGTTGGTTGGGCCCAAGCGTCGCGTGGCTGCAGCCACCATCATCACCATTTTCTACTCCCTGGGCGAGGCTTTCCTCGGCTTCCTGGCCTCGCAAGTTCAGCACTGGCGCTGGCTGCTCCGTGTGCTCTATGCCCCTGCTGTCCTGCAGATACTATTCCTGTGGATACTTCCCGAGAGCGTGCGCTGGCTGCTGAGCCAGGGATCGGAGGAGCGAGCCGCTGCTGTGCTGCGCCGGGCAGCGCGCATCAACAAACGGCCCTTGCCGGATGAGCAGTTGGACGAGCTGCTGGCCACCAATCGGCAGAAGCTGAGTCAGGCCAACGAGAGCCAGTACCCCATAATGAAAGCTGTGCGATTCTTCTCGCTGCGTATTCTCAACTGCTGCCTCTGCTGGTTCACCCACACTCTGATCGCCCTGGGACTCAGCCTCAACTCGGTCAACTTGGGTGGAAATAAGTACACGAACTTTATGCTGAACGGTTTTATCCAGATCCCCGGTCTCCTCCTCCCACTGATCATCATGGATCGAATCGGCCGACGTTACTCCCTCTGTGCATCGATGCTCCTCTGTGCGGTCTGCATGGGCGCCTCCGCAGGCATTGCAGCAGGTAAGCCACAGGACGTTTATCTCTTTATTTTTCCCAAGTGTAAAACTCAAAATTTTACCTGATTACTTGCATCTTTCTCCCTAGATAACTACGCGGGTGCTCTGACATTGTTTCTTATTGGGAAGCTGGCCATCACGTGCAGCTTTCAGATTCTGTACTTCTTTACCTCGGAGATCTTTCCCACCAATGTGCGCAACAGTCTTCTTTCCCTTTGCTCCATGGTGGGTCGCATTGGTTCAATGCTGGCGCCGCAGACGCCTTTATTGGTGCGTATAAGTATTCAGTTCAATCCCCAACTTACCAGTCTAATATTTTCCTTACTCTAGGCCAAGTATTACCTATACGCCCCGCAAATTCTGTTTGCCAGCTTTGCTCTGATGAGCGGAGTTCTTACCCTGGCATTCCCAGAGACGGCAGACAAGGTACTGCCCACCACCATGGAAGAGGCACGCGACCTGAATCTGGCAAAGCGCAGGGCACACGCCGTTGTGGGTGAGGAGACAGAAGGTGCTCGTACGCGTAAGATGTGTTGATCTACATCCGGTGTTTGTTCCATGGTGTCCGAGAAAACGCCAAAGATTTTATAACTTAAGTGTAGGAAAGCCAATGGATGCATTTGTTATTATGTTCGTTATGTTTTAGTTAGGTTTTGGATGTAATTGTCGATTTTATTTCAAAGAAAATACACAATTTTCAACATTTAAATTTTAAGCAAATAAAAATTCAAATTTTCTACATACAGTCTACACGTCTACACCACTAACCATACAGCACATATACATATGTATGTAAGCGTGCCAAACTTTCGCTAGTCTCCGGTTGGGGGCGCCAGTGTAGAATGTTAAACTTTAATATGCAAAATTTCACATCTCTGTCACTAGCCATACAGTATATACATAGATGTACCAGTTCGGGTGGGAAATAAATACAATATATAATAATAAAAGATATTTAATTGTTAATTGTTTGATTTATTTGAAATTGCACATTTACATATAGATACATATCCCTATTTTAGCCAGGTTTTTTTTTATTACATATTGTGCAAATGCCGTCGGCTTTCGACTTTGCAACTCTGTCAATTAATTTATATACTGTATGGTTAGTATCAATACATTAGAGGGGGTCAAAAAAAATGTTTAAATTTAGGAAAAATTAGAAAAATATGTAAAAATTTAGGAATAATGTAAAAATGTAAGAAAAATTATAAAAATATGTAATAATTTAGGAAAAATGTAAAAAGAAATGTAAAAATGTAATAAAAATTAAAAAAAAACCAAAAAAATGTTTTTGTTGCTCATTGACAATAGCTGACTGATATAAAACGAAAAAGTATAATTGCTAGCTGACAAAAGCTGACTGATATGAAACGAAAAAATTGTAAATGCTATCTGACAAAAGCTGACTGATATGAAACTAAAAATTCGAACTGCTACCTGACAAAAGCTGATTGATATGAAACGAAAAATTCGAATTGCTCACTGACAAAAGCTGACTGATATGTAACGATAAATTCTCATTGCTCGCTGACAAAAGCTGACTGATATGAAACGAAAAAATTGCAAATGCTCTCTGACAAAAGCTGACTGATATGAAACGAAAAATTGTAAATGCTATCTGACAAAAGCTGACTGATATGAAACGAAAAATTCTAATTGCTCACTGACAAAAGCTGACTGATATGAAACGAAAAATTCGAATTGCTCGCTGACAAAAGCTGACTGATATGAAACGAAAAATTCGAATTGCTCACTGACAAAAGCTGACTGATATGTAACGAAAAATTCTCATTGCTCGCTGACAAAAGCTGACTGATATGAAACGAAAAATTTGTAAATGCTCTCTGACAAAAGATGACTGATATGAAACGAAAAATTCTAATTGCTCACTGACAAAAGCTGACTGATATGAAACGAAAAATTCGAATTGCTCGCTGACAAAAGCTGACTGATATGAAACGAAAAATTATAATTGCTAGCTGACAAAATCTGACTGATATGAAACGAAAAAATTTTTAAATGCTCCCTGACAAAAGCTGGCCGATATGAAACGAAAATTTCGAATTGCTCGCTGACAAAAGCTGACTGATATGAAACGAAAAAGTATAAATGCTCCCTGACAAAAGCTGACTGATATGAAACGAAAAATTCTGGAAAAAATTTGGAGTGTTGCCCGGTCGACAAATAAAAGAGGACTTGGTTGATTTCTTCGCATACGAGTTCTTTATTGGTATCTGAGGAATAATACTTAGGGATGCCTTAGCCTAGTCTTTGGTTTATCACCGCTCGGTTCTCTTATCGCCTGCCGTTATAGCCCGCCTCTACCAAGCGTGGCACTGTCGGCTCTAAAACTGTTGTGACTATGATCCGCCACACTCAGTCTGCACACGACACGTTCGCTTTCCAGGTCCTATGCCGGGTCCTTTGGTATTGGCTTCTGACTTGTTGTCCTTACCGTCGTTGTTATGATTCCCGATAAACGGACTGTTACTCTCCGCACTCGAATGTCCCGAGACGCTGCCGCGGGCCTCCTTTTATTCCCTCGCTGATGCACGGCCGCGGCCGTCGCTACTTAGCAAAAACGGGACTTTCCTCCACGCGGTGCCCGTACTTTTCCATCGACTCGTCTGATGCGCTCCACCTGCTTCGTAACGGGACCCAGCTGGTGGCGTGATCGCATGGCCATATATGGTCATGCGCTGGACCACTGCCGGCCCGATCCCATTATCCCGCCTCTCTTCCGTGCTCCTCCATTCTCCATCTATTTACGTCTGGCATGGATTCCTATGAAGTGAACTGCTCTAAAATTGTATAAGGCATTAGCAAGCATTGGCTGCCTCATTACATTGAGTTTCAGAGCTTTGGCCTATTTAACAGTCCCTTTTAAGTTTTGGTTATTTTTTCGGGTGCTAATTGGTTGGCAGGACTCTTTCGATCACGAAAAGAAATGCCATGTCCAGATCATCAGCCTCATAGCTAAGATATAAAAAGCGTAAATAAAAAAAAACAGTATTATAATGATTGGCAATATATTTGCAACGATATTCCAGTTCTCCCAGGATCGTGGGGATCCAGACTGTCGATCTATATTAAAACGAGAAGGAACGTGTGAGTCGTTTCTGGGGACACGACTCTACTTATACCCGTACTCAGTCAGTATATACATTTTTGAGCTTATGATTTTTTAGAAATTAAAAAAAAAAAAAAATTTTACATTTTAAATTTTTTTGCTACATCTGATATCTACATATACAATGTCTATTCTACATCTAACATGTAGATTGTACATGTTCCATTCATATTCTACATCTCCTACGCTAGGGGTTGCTCGCGCACTGAACCCGGCAGAGTGTGCGAGCGAGAAGGAAAATGAGTTGCATGGTCGTTGGCAGGAGGGGGCAGAGGAAGCAACTGAAAATTAATTTGTTCATTCTGGCTATAATTATGATCCGATCTGATTCAAATTTGGCAGTCTAGATATAGGCATTCTCTACGATAAGTTTTTAGTTTTATAGTATCTTTAAAAATGTGCCTGCCACAGATTTTCGTCCTTTGTGTGGGCGGAAGGGGGCGGGGCGAAATTTTGAAATACACTTGTAGCAGTGTGATATCACATGCCCTAGCTCTTATAGTCTTTGAGATCCAGGCGTCAAACAAGACGGACAGACGGTCAGACGGACAGACGGACAGACTGACATGGCTCTATCGACTCGGCTATTGATGCTGATCAAGAATATATATACTTTATGGGGTCGGAAACGTTTCCTTCTCTGTGTTACACACATCCACTTTTACCACAAATCTAATATACCCCTTAACTCTTTTTTGAGTACGGGTATAAAAATGAAGTTCCGCATTGGCAGCTCACGGCTGTGTACGAGTATATGTTAGATCCGCTTTTCATTTCAAGTGGTTTCCTTTCCCCTTCCAAACGAGCAAACGAGTGTTTCGAGTGCTAACTTTTGTTAGCATTGTTGTTCTCGTGGGGAGGTGAAGGTAATGCCATGCAATAAACAGTACAACTTGACTCATTGGTGCAATAAACAAACAAGCGATCCACGCCCCAAAAAGACTGCAGAGTAGAGGAAAACCTTAAAAACTTGACACTACCCGTGGTACAATATATATGGGCTCTGTCCTACTTTATGGATGGCAAATGTGATTTGATTTATGAGTAATTGAAATTGCAATTGAATAATTCAGATATCGGGTCTCGGAGGTGCTCTTATCAGAGTAAAAATTGCTGGGTAATTGCTGACTACTTACGCGCATCAGTTCCCGATGCTATCACCACGACGACGACGACCACGACCACGACGAAGAAACCTTATCTTACGATCGATCGCCCGATCGGATGGCCCAAGTGTCGATCGATCGCTTTGGTGAGTGATTCTCCAGACAGGTGCTCCTCTCTGTCTCTCAGTTCCGATTTGTCAATGGGCGCAGAGAGACATGAGCGGTGACTATGAAAGCGACTACATTATGCGTACTCGGTAGGACACCTATATTGATGTGTATATAAGATACGAATACGAGTACGCTAGCACCCATTAAAATCACAATCGGTTGATTCCAGGAAGCTACGCGATAAGCAGCCACTCTGGGACTCTTTCCAGGATCCGCCGGCCAAGAAGACGAGCGGCTCCGACGCGGACTGGAAGAAGTTACAGTTCTTTCTTAAGCTCTTCAAGCTGCTCGTCTTCCTCCTGGTCTTCGCCGTCGTTCTGGCCTCAAGTGTGGTGGCCAAGCTGCTTTATCTCTATATGGCTGGCAATACCAGTGGCAGCGGAAGCAGCGCTACCAAGGTGCAAGTTTGCAGTAAATACCGTGAGTCAAGGCCCCTCCCTCCCACCATGCTGTGTTCTGTTTTCTGTGTTCTGTGTTGTGTGTATTCCGTATTTCTCTTCATTTAAAGTTCTGCTGCCCGGCGAGGTGGTGGCCGTGCCCAATAAGCTGGAACAAATCGCCTGGGTGTGGGCTCTGATCTTTGCCTTTGCCGCCCCCGAAGTGCTCACCTTCCTGCGCGCCCTCCGCATCTGCATGTTCAAGCGCGAGCATCGGCCCAGCGGACTGGAAGTGGCTCTGGTGAGTGTCAGGGAAGGAAGGTCCGCCCGCCCGGATGGTGATTGATAAGCTCCCGCTACTCACTATCCCTGCTGGCCCTGTGGTTCTTCTATTCAGGTCACCCTATTTGAACTGCTGCACGTCGTCGGCCTGGCCCTGCTCACCTTCACCGTGCTGCCATCATTGGACCTGACGCGTGGAGCGATGCTGGGGTGCTGTGTCTGCTTTGTGCCCGCCCTGCTCAGTGAGTCACAGCAATCTTATCTTGGGTGGGGCCGACAACAATTAAATTGATTGCTCCCACACTTCAGATCTGCTCACGGGAACCCGTATCCACTGGAAGTCGGTGGACAGTCTGGTCCTGGCCCTCTCCATTGTGGCCGTGATGGCGCTGGGCAGTGTTTTCCTGCTCTGGCCATCGATGAGCACTCAGCTGGAGGTGCAGCTTCTGGCCATTCCCCTTCTGCTGGTCTCATTTCGCTGGTGGGAGAATTTTGCCAACACGCACGAAGCCATCGGTGAGTGTGTCCACCCCGCCACTGATTCTCTCACCCCTTGTATCATCCATCAGCCTACATAATTCGCACCATCCGCTGCACCCGCTCCCGCTACCACACGTACCTCTATCTGGCACCGCTCAAAATCGTGGTGTTTGCAACAACGGCCTTCCTCCTGCACGGCCAGAGCTTCGTGGAGTACTTTAGTCTGTTTTTGAACGCCTGGCGGCCCCATCTCATAACCCTGGTGGTGAGTGCAGACCACTGAATTCTGATGCTCATCATTAGAGTAGAGTAGAGAGAGAGAGCGCGAGTCAACTTTGATGCACTTGCACTTGCAGCAGAGCAGCGACAGTAGCGGCAGCAGAAGCGACGACCTCGATGCGCTACATTTAACAGAATCCTCCGCATCGCAGGCGAACCGCAGCAGCTCATTTATCAGGACAGAGGCAAGGGCACAGTACACGATGCAATCCAATCCGAATGCGGTGCTGTATGCCCTGTTGGTGCAGGTGGCAGCCGCGTATCTGTGCCACGTTTTCGGCAAGTTTGCCTGCAAAATCAAGATCCAGGAGTTCAGCTACGCCCTGCCCCTCACCCTGGCCATGCCGGTGACCATCGCTCTGGCTACGCTCCTCGCCTCCATTCGAACGGCAGATCCCTGCTCTCTGCACGGTCTCATGCCGGACTACCTCACGCTGCAGGCGCTGGCCGGCAGTTTGGAGGAGCTGGGCCAGAGCTGTCTGGACTACGTTCTGTGGATGTGGCCGCTGTGGTGGCTGGCCCAAGTGTGGACGTGCCTGCATATCTGGCAGCCACGCAACGACAAGAACGCCCAGACAGAGAAGCTCTTCGTCTGTCCCTGGTATTGCGGCCTGCTGGTGGATCAGTGCGCGATGATGAACCGGAGAATTGTTGACTGGAGCGAGGAGTATCTGGCCATCAAGGTAGGTTTGGGTGTGGGTGTGAGTGCTGTGCTGTTAATTGTGTCTCGTCGCTAATCAGATTGCGCTCGAGGAATGGGGTATGAATGGTGTATGAATTATTGTATTCAGGCGGAGGCGCCCCCTGACTGGCATCAATCATCGCGCAGCAGCATCTCCTGCCCCCGCCACATCTATCTAATTCGAGGACTTTTTGACTATTTGCTGGTACGTATGGACTGGCACTACTCATCAGGAGGAGATGTACGCTTTGCGCTTCAAATGCCTGGCAATGTAATTAAGTTAAATGACGGGGAAACTGCAAAGTTCAGGAAATGTTTGCGTTTCCCTTTCCACCGCCATCATGCGTGTGTGTGTGTGTGAGTGTGTGCGTGTGTGTGTGGGTGGGTGTAAACTTAATTAAGAGTGCTTCAGTTCGGCTGTATGTTTTCGGGTCTCCTCCACCAAAAAAGGGCCAGCATAAAGACATTAAAGTAATTAAAATCAGGGCACAAGAGTTGAGAGTTTTTAGGGCATAAATTAGAATGCCAGCGAATTATGTGCATTTGTAATGCGGCTCTGCCATTAGGGGACAAGCTCCAACTACCTCTCCTTTAATGAGCTGGGGGGGCAGGGCATCAAAGGTTCAGAGAATCCTCACGAGTAATTTCCATGCACATGTCCGCAATTGATGGCCAAAACCACTTGATATCAAACTGCAATTGTTCAGAGCTTTAACCGAACCCCTATAATCCTTCTCTCTCTCTCTCATTCTCCTTCGTACCCACCAGAGCGACCTAACCACACCCAGGGAGCCGGTGATGGCCCTGGCATCAGAGCTGAATGCGAGCAGGGACATTCTGGAGGAGGACAAGATACCGCAACTGATTGTTTGTGCAACAATGTGGCACGAGACAGAGGAGGAGATGATGGAGTTCCTCAAATCAATTGTCCGCCTGGATGAGGATCAATGCGCACGCCGCATGGCAAAGACCCACCTAAACGGCGGCAAGGCGGACGATGAATACTACGAACTGGAAAGTATGTAAATGTGTCAAGTGCGCCAGCATCAGCACCAGTAGAAAATCCATCCAGCTGCTCTCTCGATGCTCTTCGCCCATTCCGCATTTTCTGAATTTGCATGCATATATTAAATGTGTCAAAGTGGAAATTTATGCAAGGAATTGCATGGAATAAGTCGTATTCGGGCTGGGGTTGGGTCCTCGAGTCCCTGGTTTGCAGCCCTATTTATAGCATTTGGCGACTTCATTTCCGCGCTTGCCAAAATGGCATTAAGCCAAAGCGAATGGCATTTGCAAGTGTCTCCGACAACTTTACGATCTGTCTAATTCCGCCTTCGTTTTCTTTCTCTTTACGCCAGCAAATATTTTCTTTGACGACGCCTTTGTGCTGGATCCGCGTCAGTGCCAGAACAAACGAAACCCGCCAGTCAACGAGTACGTAAAGACACTCACCCGCACCATAGACAAGG